CTCCACAAGCCACAATCTGACACGTCCCCATTTCTACTGTTGACGGCCCAGGTGTTGCGGAGCAAATGCATGCTCAAGTGAAGTTGTCAACTAGAAAGTCGAGGCTATTGACCCATGGGCTGGGTCTGAAGAGGATTTACCATGCTCGTTCTTTGCTCAAGCACACACACCACAGACATAACACCGTTATGAATGTTGGCCTCGAGGATTGGCCATGTTCGGAATTCTCGTCTAGTGCTCAACGCAACGACTAAATATGCATGTTTTTCAATTTTGTGGCATACGGTTTATATTTACAGTACATATGCACATACAAATGCCGAATTGCCTGTGTTAATAACGTGAACGTGCAAAAGTAGCGACATGACATATAAATCGCTGTTGTTGAAGTAAATTCATATCAAGTCAAAGCATCATATTTGTGCTCGCTACTTGTCTTCCCCGGACATAAAATGCCAATCCAGCCGTCTGTCTGTCGAAATCAAATCGTTTCTATGGCCAAACAAAACGTTTGTGAGTATCTGAGGACCCTTGGACAACATAACATTACTAAGTAACGAATAGGTCTCATAGGGCAGTTGCCGGCAAAGTACGGCTATAGAGTTTCTGTCACAGCCTTCACTCTGGTCGCAATGACCTGGGCTTTGTCTCTCTTTGTTTCAATCTATTGCACCGTTTGTGAAGCTGTCGACACCCGTTTCACGCCGGTATGGGATCAAAACAATCTTCATTCGAGCGCTGTTACGATGGACAGCGTCGTTGGGTCCTTCTTCTGGTTAGCTCCTAATCCAATGTTGAATTTGACTCCAATCTGGCCTTCAGATGAATGGAACTTAAAATTCTTGTCTTATATTTTATTACTATTTAGGGTCGCTTTATTTCTGTTCCAGTTGTCCTGTCTAGTGTACGCCATCTTGTCGGTGGATCCAGCGTACATGGATGCCATTGTTGACATAACATCCCACGTCGGCCTGTTCAATGTGCTTCATTCAGCTTCCTTGATCCTCTTTGTGTCCTCCCATTTTACATGGACAGAGGTCGTATTGGTCTCGAATTTTGCAAACATGTCCGTGCTCTATTTTCGCTGCAGCCGTTTACCGTGGCTCATCCGCTCCTCCTTGGCTTCTGGACCCCTCGCGTGGGCCTTCTTCGCCGTGTTTTGGAATGGCGGCTTCCTCATCCCGCAGGTAGCGGACAAAACGCGGCCCGCAGGATCAGTTTTCTTATGGTGGATCCTCTGTTATGGCATGAGTTTCGCTTTTACGTATAAGGTAGGTGATAAATATGTATTCCGAGTAGTCTTTGGCGCCTCACTGACCATTGGCAAGGATGACGCAGTCTGCTATAGCTTGAGCGTTCTGGTGGCGGCTGTTGGGCTATATCACGCCAGAAATAACGCCCAATTTTACCAATGGGTCCCACCCATCGCAATTGCGGCGGTGTTATATGCCACATTCTTGGTAATTTTTATCTCAAGATGGGAGTCCAACGAGCTACGCAAACAGGCAGCCATGGGAGGTGCCTCAGGATACGGCGGTGAAGAAGGTCGGCAGACCCGAAATGACAGTTACCGCCTCTCGAGGGGAGTAAATATTAGCAGGTGTTGCTTTATGAGTGTCGTTGTTAGCTAGGTCTAACTAATACTGGAGTGCACTTGTGCGTATCTAACGCAGATGAGTGATTATTGGTATACAGAAGATGAGTAAGACAGGGAAGGGCCTGACAAGTTCACAGATACAGAACAGCCATCAAGACTATCCATACCAGGCAGACCGCGTTCGAGCGGAAGGGGAAAGCAGTTCGTGCTAGGAACGGCTTAATTGTTGGAAGCGAGAAATGGACATTCTTGTATGTTTAGTTGAGCGCTGTATAGCTGCCTAAGCGGCAGGGACGGTCGATGAAGAATGAATGAATGATGAGTCTCGGAAGTAGTAATATCAGATGCCGCTTGATCCCAGGAGTAGGTGGTTATCTAAAATTGAATGCCCTTTGATCCTAGGGACAGATATCCAAAATTGGACGCCGCTAGATAATAGGCGCACAGATCCCAGGAGCAGAGGTCCGAAACCGACGCTGACTGACCCCAGGAGTACAGACCCCAGGAGCAGAGACCCTAAGTCGACGCCAGTTAGTCTCAGGAGTGGTCATCTGAACTGACTACGCTGATCTCCGAAGTAGCTCCATTAGTGCTCTAGAAAAGCATATAATCGGCTTCTTTTAATCTGTAGTCTACGGTCCCATGATTCTAGAATATGTGGGGATCATCCGGTTTCTGATGATGTAGTACAATCCCGGGGGGAAGCGGTCTTGTTCTAGACAAAAGTTAGAGAAGTGCAAGGACTGACTTTGTGGATCAAAGAACCGGATTCGCTACAGGTATGGTAATCGTCGAGAAATACGTAGTGATGAGTATGACTGTTACGATTAACAGAGAAACATATGTCGTGGAGTAATCTGCGGATATATCATGTCGGGGTAGCATATAATACAATATAGTGGAAGGTGTCCAGAATTTACCTCGCTATAAATTGTTATGGCAATTGCTATACGGACCTCACGCTTACACGGGCCTGATTTTTACCACTCCGCATTGGTCATAAATTTTTCTGTCAGCTCTCTTTGTACATTGCTCCTCTACTTGCCTCCTTTGACATACTGCAGGCACCCAATCTGCTACTCAATCCAGCGGCTCATTGCACCACTAGTTAGATGTCCGCCACGAGAATATACACACTGTCTTGAGATGCTATTGCACAAAGTAGTAGCCGACTTAGCGCATCAATCCAACAACAGACATGTAGAACTTCCGCTCTTAGAATCGCGAAGACAACATTTATGCGTTACAGCGGTCAGAACCAAATATCGCGGGACTAAGAGGTAGTTAGAACTAGACGAGGATAATAGACGAAGATAACCACAGGTTATATTATAAATTTATTAGGAAATAAGATAACCGGAATCAAATCTATTTGCATTATATTACGAGCAGCGCAAAATGTTAATATAGATCGCGGGGCTTCCGAAAAAGCAGATTTACGCTCGAAAGAGTGCGTGATGAGCCTGTAATAGAGGAGAGGTTGTGCGGTTTATGGGGCTGTTAGGGAATCAAGGTACTTCGCCTTTGCAAGCAAATACCCGTGGGTCAAGAAATTTTAGGCCAATCAGAAACGGTAAAAGTCAAGCCCGCGTATTAATAGGAGTCAGGCCCGTGTAGCAATTGCCTTTATTAGTTTGGGCATAAAGAATAAAGTGTGCATTTTGATGGTACACGCTGTTTCGTCCGCCCTTTAACACCCAGATCAGGTTAGGTAGGATATGTCGGATAAAAACTGCCTCTGTTGATTGAAACACGCAAGCGTTTTGCCACCAGAGTGGCAAGTGGCAAATAGTAGTCGTCATACTGCTGCCTGGAGGCAGCAGTATCGCGAAAGTATTAAATATCTGAAGTTTCTAGGGCTGTAGCGGTTGGTGGTGTAAGTACTTAGTGAATTTAACGACATAATAGTTTAATAAAGGAAATCATTTACAGTAAATATTGGCAACCGATTAGTTAGTTATTGTAACGGGCTGAGCCTGAAGGCGGCTCGGCTGCGCTCTCGCCAGTAAGCGAGATCAGCTGCGTGGAGCTCAGGAGCTCCTCGAGCTCCTCAAGCTCTCCTTTTCTTTCTTTCCTTCCTCACCTTTGGATACTCGTAGTAGTCGTCTAGCTAGTGGTCAAACACTCAGCTTGAACCGTTACACCAACAAAAATTAAAGAGGCACAAAACCTCGCTTAAACTTCAGTCGATCATCTGTGCAAAGTGTACTGCTGATCTCGCCCATACGCAACTGAGACTTAAGGTGTACCCATATAAGAAGTGCAGAGGACAAGCTCAAGTGCAACATGGCTGGCGCATCCATGTGTCGCCCAATTATCGTCGGGACAATTATAAACATGAGGGCAAAATTTGTCACATTGCGCAAGACAAAGAACTGTCACACTTGGTTGATGTTGTGCGGAGCTGATAGCCATATTGACAGAATTGCCTCGCAGGTGAGTCGTCTACAGCAGAGATGTCGTAAAATAGGTCCACAAGACCATTCCATGGAACATAAGAGTACTCGAGCTGGGTAATAGGACTATTGTCGAACTCCGCCATGCGCTTCTGTTCATCAATCTCCTCACCAATCTTACTATTAGTTGTTATTTTTATTGATACACCAGTGCCGTTTATAACAGGCCGATACTCTTCGCTGTAAATCTTGTTGGGGGCTAAGTCCTGTATTTGAGACGCGTTTTGTTGAACAGACTTCAGGAACAGAGCGAAAGGACATCGGTTCGCTACACTTAGCTGCGATAGTCCCTGGGTAAAGGGGAGAATGGTAAGTAACAAGTATAGATTCATGTTCTGAATACATACATGTGTTGCAACCGTGGGTAGATGAATATGTGGG